AGCTGGTGGTATTGCTCATTTTACACAACCGTATGAGTTTTGAGGGGATGCCAAATTCAGACATAGCGGCGTATAGGCAACTCCTTTTAGTGCTGTCGAAAGCTGCTTTAAAGTCGACAAATAGGTGGTGAGTGTCTATGCTTTTCTCGCGGATCTTTTCCAAGATTTGGCGTTTTGTGAATACCTGGTCTATGGTGGAGTTGCCAGACCTAAAGCCTCACTGATAAGGCCAAATCAGTTCATTGACGGTGGGCTTCAGTCTTTTAAACAATACGCTCGATAGACCTTGTAACCTATGCTTAGAAGGCTGATCCCGCGGTAGTTGGCGCGAATTCCTGTCGTCATGCGGTGATCTGACCATATTCTGCATAAGAGCTGATGCATGCACCTTATCAACTCCTCGCCACCGTACTTGAATAGCTCAGCTGGCCGGCTGCCAGCTCCAGCAGCTTTGTTTTTCAGCGCATTATTCCTATTCGTACCTCGTCATATTCAGGCGGTGGAACGTCGACTCCGTCATCATCGACTGCGGGCTGGGGTTCTTCTTCCCCACAACTTTCCGTGCTGCTACCATTCAGTAGGGTGGAAAGTGTTCCCTCCATAATTTAAGTACGTTCTGAACAGCGGTAACTAGGTCGCCATTGTTGTTCTTACAAGAGTACGCCCTGGTCTTGAAACCTTCCACAAGTCGCCTAACCCTCTGATAAAATTTTCGGGCGTTCTTCCTGTCGGGCAGCATTTCCAGCTCTTCGCATTCACGTATTTCGGCTACTCCCTTCTTATTGCGGCAAATACGTCTTGCTTTCCTCTTCAGATCCCTATAGCGTTCCCCATAGCGCGCGTTGCGCCCGATCGCAGCGTGGCCCTGCAGGCGGCATCTTTTTTCTCTGCAGCTTCCTGACCCTCATCGTGCCAGTTGTTTTTTCGGGCTCGCTGATATCCGATAACTTCGGCGGCGGTACTTAATGAGCGGTGGATGTGGTTCCACTGCTCGCATATGTTGGTTTGTTGAAGAGTGCTCTCTGAGAGCAGTTGTGAGAGTCGAGTAGCGAATGCATTGGCTGTCTGTTGTGATTGCAGCTTTTCGACCTTAAGCTTTCCTTGCTTATTTTGGCGCACATTTTTTGCTGCACAGAGTGCTGGTGCGTATCTTGGCTGCAACAAGATAGTGGTAGTGGTCCGAGTCGATGTTTGGGCCTCGGAGTACGTACGTATAAAACACTGGAAGCATGCCTTCACTCTATCACAACATGATCGATTTGGTTTCTCATTTTTCGATCCGGAGACAGCCACATAGCTTGATGAATATTTTTATGCTTGAACGTAGTACTGACGTTGCGTAGTGGAGACTGAATTTTCCGATAGTGGTTCCAAAAATCCCTTCCTTGCCCACCCTGGCATTGAAATCGCCAAGCACGATTTTGATATCTTGGCGGGGGCAGCGCTTGGAGCGCACGCATAGGAGAAATCCTTGGATGCCACATCCTTCCCTTCCCATCCTTTGATGCGGATTATGGCTAGGCGCTCGTCCACCGGGGTGAACGACAGTACTCGGCGTCGGATTCCTCTCCCAACACAAATCCAACACCGAATTTACGCTCCGTTACATGGCAGCTGTAGTAGACGTCGCAAGGTCCCAGATATTACTTGCCTTTCCCCGTCCAACGAGTTTCTTGGATGGCGGTGATGTCAGCTTTTGGTCTGACGAGGACATCAACCAGTCGGGCAGAGGCCCCACTAAAGGTCCGGACATTCCAGGTGCATGCCTTCTGTCCATTTAAGTTTGCCGTGATCGTCATCATAGAGGGGGTCTCATCCGAGGCTTTACTTCGCTTTTTCACTGGAAGGGGTTTTTACGTGGCGGATCCCAAACCTAGCGCACAACCCATTGCTGAACAGGGGTGGTTTCACAACCAAATACATGTTTATATGCTGGCGAACAGACGCTGCAGACTTCAGTGAGCCCTTAAACCGAATAATTCGGAGTGGCCCCACCGAAGCTCCCTCTCTTTCTGCCGTGACCCAAGGTTCCACTCGGATAACCGCATCTCGCTCAGAGTGCGCGAACGAGGACTCAAGAGTCGGGATTGAGTATAGCCGTGCAACTGTAACTGCATTCCCAGCGCAACGACTATACCCCATTGCTCTTCATTGTATATCTTATTTCAAATTAATAGTTTCGCAATAAAATATAAATAAATGGATAGTGTTGAGCTGTGCTTTAGTGGCGAGAGTGAAGATGAAAGTGCCAATTTAACGGAATTGGCAAAATTGAGAAGGAGGTTGAGAGATTCCGCTAATCCTCTGAAGCAGGAGGACCAAATGTATGCTTTCTTTTTTTTTCTTCTTTTTCTAAGTTCAGCCTTTCTTTTTTAAGTCTGTAAGACTTCCTTGTAAAACTCTCAATATATTTTAGACTATCTTTAATTTCTTTCGAGTTTGCCTTCATAGTTTCAAAGTGTTTTGTTGATTTCCGCCGATTGACACAAACATGGTATCGTAAAAAGTTCACCACAACTTCCTCCAGTGGCGTAAGTGTATGGATATTATTTAGGCCCCCACCAGTTGCTCGAAATTCTCCTCTATTTTCAGATATAATAACGCTTTTATCAACTTGTAATGTTGTGTGTCCAGACCACCATTTATACTGTAAATATAGCAAAGGTATTTATGGCAAAGTCTAGATATCAACCTAGTCTAGATATCAACCTCGTTGTAGACATCATATCAAAGACATACAATTAGAATACTCTAGATGTCGCGCCGCCAGAAGAAGTTAAATATTGCGGCTAAAAATATGCACTACATACGCTACAGCGGAAATGGACGACACGCCACGAAATTAGTTCCTGCTACATGTATGTATGTTCATATGTATGTATATACTCAGCGTGAGCACAAAACAATTTCCTTGCATAGTCTTCTGTTCTCTTTTCACTGCAAGTTGAATTATTTTAATATCTATTGCAAAATTTTATACAGACAAGACTAAAAATTATAAAATAAAAAAAATAAAAACTTAGTATATCACCATTTATAAATGGACTAAAAATTAGAAAGTAATATTTCTCACTCCCATAGATTTGTTTTGATAACTTTTGATTTTCATTATAAACAATTTATGAGATTGAAAATGAAAAGCGCGGGGCGTATGTAATAGACCTGAATTGATATGAAGGGTAATATATGTATGTACTATGTGGATATATGAATAACGACCGCTTAAAATCGATCTCAAATTTGTACTTTCTCTGTAGAAATTTTAGGTCTATGTTATGTAGTTTGACTGTTGTCAATTAAATCTAATTCTTTGTATTGCATGCGCTCCTCGTTTTTCGTTTTCAATCTCATAAATTGTTTATAATGACTTTTGCTAAAATTTCAAAATCAAAAGTTATCAAAACAAATTCTATGGGACTGAGAAATATTAGTTTTTAATTTTTAGTCCATTTATAAAAGCGTGGTATATTAAAAAGTTTTTTTATATTATTTATATTCTCTTTCGTTTTACTTCCTAAATCAGTCCAAACCTACATAAAAATATGCCACATTGTTTTATTTACCACAGCTCGTATCAGAATTTATTTTACCTTTAACCACGAACGCATTGGTGGTCCGACGCTGTTGAGTTTCACTGAAATGGCTTTCCATCTTGGTTTTGCCCGAGACTTTCCGCAAATTCCTATTGCCTATTGCCATATCCTGATTCTCCTGCATCAGCTCAACCAACCGCGCAAGTTGCCTTTTATTGCCAACAATTTTTGATCTTTAATTTATACACATACATACATGTATGCTAAAATTTTTTACAACTTCCAGTTCAATTAACTTACTTTTTATCCATTATAGTACCACTTTCTTGTATAAATTGTGTAAACGAAAACTCAAGCGACTCAGAAATAGTAATAGAAAGGTGAGCGATTAAAAACTATTCACAGTCGCTAATTGAGCGACTAATCGACACTCATAATAGCATCGAAAACCGATAATCGCTTAATAGTCGTTTATCTACTGTCAGTCGACCCTCGCAATAGGGGTGAAAGTTTGAATGAAGTAACCAATGAACATATTTTGATCTGTTTGAAGGAAGTCGATAGCTTCTGCGATAGGTTGCATTACTTTTTCATGTTCTTCCAATTACTCAATTTCGTCCTCATTGAAAGTATGCATGCATTTCTTCTACCCTTTATAATTAGTAGCACCAATGACATGTATTGATTGATTGACTTGTTTGCCTTTTTGAAATTTTTATTATTTTAAAGTTAGGTACAAATAACGTCACTCTGGATTAACGTTTTCCACTTGCACATGTATGTAAATTGCCTATATTCGCTCCGCTAGTTTCACCTATCACTGAGTAGACAGTGGTAGTGCAATTCAGTGGTAGTGCAAAAATGCCCAACCCTGTATAATATATACGCCAATAATTAGAATAAAAAAAAAATGCTTCAGTTTTTTATTAATTATTTCCACTTCATTACTATTTGCGTGGTACCTTCATATTTTCAAAGTGATTGTTGAAATAAAATTAATATAACACGTAAATTAAAATAAACTAGTAACACCATCGATAGCAGCCAAAAATAAGTCCAAAGAATATTTTTATTAATAAGATATTAATTGTGTCCACTCAGAACACCGATCAACCCCACTGTGCGCCATCTGAAAAGGAACACACAAGTTATTCGGGGAAAAAGTCCTGAAATCAGCCTTGATGCACTGGCTATACAAGAATTTTAAGGGTAGCCAGTAAACATTTCAACACTTCTCAGAACCAATGCATAAAGCAACAGTAAATAAAAAAACGTATCCGTACAAATGTAGGACATATTGGACAAAACTAAATTTGCCTTAAATTTTATTTTATTACTAACCAATGCGTTTTCAATATATAAAAATAAAATAATATAAAATTCTGATTTTAAACTTTGAATTCTTTCAGTAACCCTGTATATTTTTCGGAATCTTTTTAAAAATCCAAATGTATAATTTCATTTTAGTGAAACAGAGCGCTACAAAAAGATTAAATGGCAAGATGTCCGCGTTGGTGACCTGGTGCATTTATCTAATAATGAGACCGTGCCGGCAGATATTCTGCTTCTGCGAACGAGTGACTCACACGGTGCCTGTTATATTGACACTTGTGATTTAGATGGTGAAACAAATCTAAAACGGAGAGAAGTGAATATATTTTCGAAGCAAAATAATTTCTTTGAGTGAATACATATATTAATTTGTTCACATTTAGGTTGTGCGAGGTTTTACAGATAAACAGAATATATTCACACCAAGTAAATTCGTGAGTCGTGTCGAGGCTGATGCACCCACTACAAAACTTTATAGATTCCATGGGGCCTTAATACATCCAACTGGGAATCGCATACCCATTGCCACAGAAAATTTGCTGCTGAGGGAAAGTCGCCTGAAAGTGTGTTTGGAAACAATATGTAAATTAACAAGACTGAACTATAATGAAAGTTAAATTTTTTTCAGAATACTGATTTTATTGAGGGCATCGTGGTGTATGCAGGCCACGAAACAAAATCAATGCTGAACAACAGTGGCCCTCGGTATAAACGCTCTCATGTCGAACAACAGATGAATATTGATGTGATATGGTAATTTATGCACAAGTCCTCTAAATATACACCTGATCCTTCTATTATACGGTTAGTCGGATAATTAGACAAAGGCAGGTTTTACATGCAAATCTGCAAACTCGTTGCACTAAAAACAATTTGTTTTGCCTTCGATGATGAGGTAAAAATGTAAATCTCAAATGTATTCACAGGATGTCGTAAGCACCGTAAAGTCTTGAAGTCGTTAAATTTTTCAAAGTAAAATAACGGTTGAAATGGTTTTAAGGATTCGTAGGGTATAATAACAGCTAAACATATATGAATTTTCTATCAGTTTAAAAACATTTTGGCGTAGTTAAAAAACCCTCTAAAACCATTTTAACTGTTATTTTACAAAAATTGTACGGTTTTAAGCAGGGACGTAAAATAACCATCATTTTTTAAATTATAACCAAAAAAAAAAAAAAGTAACCGTCGTAAAACAATTTTAACTATACTCACGTATTTGTGTTCGTACGTTCTACTGGATTTTACAATGATTTTTATTTTTCGAGTTTAATTAATAAAGACAAAAAATAATAATTAATATTTCAGTTTTATTTTTTCGATCAAATGAAATTATTAATGCTTGATTATTATTTTTTCGATCAGACATAATAATTATTTTACGATTTTTATTTTTTCTCATAGATAATAATTATTATTGAGTTTTATTTTTAATGATCATTCAAAATATTCAAAAGCTATACGAGCGTGATTTCCGACGTATCCTGTTCAGAGCCAGTGACATCCTAATAAAAGGAATAATTCCCAAACTTTTCAAGTCGACATTGCGGTAGGTTCCCTACCGAAAAAATTATTAATTGATTAAAATAGCCAATTTCTAGTTAGCTTTTTTGCGGGATTTCGATAAATAACTAACTTTTAATTTGTTATGACAAAACTAACTTTAAGTTGGTTGTAAAGTCGTGCAGGAGTCATGTAGATGTTATCGGGAGTTTGTTTTCTTAACAAGTTTCAATTTAAATATCCTCATTCAAAAATTACTTTCAATACACTTTTTCTGTAGTTCGCAGATTCTTTTTCGTATTCAGGACAAATAAAATAAAAGTCGAAATTATATATTATCATTTTGATGTTATGTGTGATCGAATTCAAATATGAGACCACCCATGATAAAAAAATAGAAGGTAGGTTCACTTCAATATTTTTTGACGGATACTGGCATTTTTGAAGTTTCATAAATTCTACGTTTTAGAAGCAGCGTTGCCACATTGATATTAAAAAAAATTTAAAAATAATTGATGATATTTTGGGATGGGTGTTCCTATTATTTTTAATGGGTCTTAGTCTTTTCAGACGATCCTATATAGTATATAGTATTTGGAGTTTTAAAATGTGTACTAATTTTGATTAGAAGGTCGTGAGCTGGACCGATTTGAAAATACCTCCAAAAATGTTATTTTATGTAGTTATTTTAAAGAATTAAAAAAAAAAATCCCTTGGACGTTAAAACAGTTTAAGCTTAAAAAATCTGCATAAAATTATTTAAAAAAAATTTCAACGGGATGATAATAATGAGAATTTTCAACCTTTCAACTTTTTTCAAATACTGGTTTAAGAAAAACTTAAATAAAAGGACCAAACTATACCGATTTAGCCTTATGTGGAAAGGTATTTTCTCACCCTTTTTATTTCTTTACAAAAAACACATTCGTGTCCCAATTTTTATTTTTTTTTTGAATATCAACACATCTTAATTAAAGTTGGAATGACACTCGTCATACTTTGAATTATATTATGCAACGATTTAAAAAGAGTGATGAAATACCTTTCCAATGATACCTTACGAGTCTAAATCGGTGAAGTTTTGACTTAGTTATTTAAGTTTTTCTAAAACCAATCTCTGAAAAAAATTCATAAACAGCATCAATAATCTTATTAGGATTCTATTGAATTTTTTTTTAAGTTTAATGCAAGTTTTTTAAGTTAAAACTATTTTGTCATCCGAGGTGATTTTTTTTCAAAAAATTACTTAAAAAAACTATATTTATTCATAAAAAACACAAGGAGGTATATTCAAATCGGTCCAGCTCACGTAAATCTTAATATTTTTCCGACATATTTTGGTGCAAGTTTTAAAATATAATAGATTTTATATTTCCAATGGAAAAACAGTAGTGGGGTGATGCAATCTAATGTACATACGTATACAAGTATACTTACATACATACGATTAAGTTTCTCCAAAACCTCTGAAATTGAGGAAATACATATATTGCTTTGAACAAACAAATTGCACTTCGGCAAGATTTTATTCTTTCACGTCACAAGCTTCTAACCACTTATTTCTTATAAACGAGAAAATTTGAAAAATTTCACACCGGAATCCCTGCACAAATTTATAAGATTCCTACAGCTTTCAATTCATTTTTTATATTATTAAAATGACTGATTTTTTCGTTTTAAAATCTTTTGTTTGAAATTTTTTCAAATGCAGTTGAAAAATTATTTTTTTTATAGCTGGTAGTTTGATTTTGATAGAGATGCCATAATGCCAAGAAAAGTCAAATGGCTAGCATGGCGACCAAAATCATTAAGTGAAACTACCTTCTTTTTTGTATCATGAGACCACCTTTAAAAGAACATGTTAACAAATAAGCAAATATGTAACGTTAAATAAAAAAGTAAATTAATAAAAAAAATTAAGAATCTATTTTTTTTTTATTGATAGTTTATGTTCAAAAGTTGTTATCTACAAGTTAGCATCTAATGCAGAAGAAACCAGTTCTCACTATTTTGCGAACATCGCCCTTCAACAGTTAGTTACGGCCAAAGGAAATAGTTAATAAATAGTTAGCTACAAACTAGTCCCATTTCCTGCAAGGTTGCGTCTGTATAGCCTTTCCAATTTTATAAATAATCATTATTTTCAAATGAAAAAATAAAACTAAAAAATAATGATTATCTCTGAGCGAAAAAATAAGTCATAAAATAATCATTATTTGTGATCGGAAAAATAAAAATCAAGTAACAATTATTTCCGTTGAGCGAAAGAATAAAACCCAATAATAATTATTAATTTTAAGCGAAAAAATAAAAATCGTAAAATAATGATTAAATGCTGATTTAAATTATTTTACTCATAATGATTACCGTCCCTGATTTTAAGACATTACAACGCTTACGACATCTTGTGAATACCCTACTTGCGAGACAAAATCCTAATCGTTTTTCCTAGTGATACATTTATTTACCAATTTTGATTTTATAAAAAAAAAAAAATAGAATAAAAAGGTAAACCGCTTCTTATGCTGGATTATGGATTAAATGTCAAAAATTGTAATGACAAAGCTTAGCACTAAAAGATATTCGTATCATTACTTAAAAAAAATTGTCATTAAGTTAATTTCCACATGGCATTTTTTAAATGACACCATTTTTTTGTCATTTTATAATGCCTAGTGGAAATTCGGCTTCTTCGGCACTTTAACTCAAAAATAGGCTAAACACTAGACCGTTCGTTATTTAATTTTTTTTTAAATATACAGTTTGCCGGGCGGAAAAATATGTCTTTTGGTCTAAAAATAAGATGTGCAAAATTTTATTCGAATACGATAGCTCTAAGTACTTGCGCGTTGCATTTGAAAATTTAGAAAACCATTCAGGGAAAAAAGTTTTTAACAAAATAGTTTAAAGTCATGAATTTTAGTCATTTGCTATGTAAAATAACTCACAAAATCTGAATATTAGGTAAAAAATAACAAGTAGAATAGGTTTTAAGAGTTTGCGAAATTATCGTTTTTTTCAAATTGAGAAAACAGCATTTACCATTTTTTCCAAAAATATCCGATTCTGATTATTAGTCTGTTCCAATTGCAGTCCGGTTTACAGGATTTAGTTTTAGTCAGAACTTACAGGAAGTCGTTCCTATTGGCATAAAACCTGTAAGTGGGAACACTTTTGAGAGAGTAATTGAGCAACTGTTCCTAGTCAGAAGTTACAGGATTTAGTCCGGAGTTTTTTTTTCCTGTAAGTTCATGAAAAGTGTCAAACGATCAGCTGATTTGCATGTGCAATCAAAAACAAAGAACCCTATATTTGTAAAAATATGGAAGTACAAAACGAAATATTTGAATATGTATAGATTTTAATAATTAGTTAGTGATATTTCAGCCAAATCAGTGTTGTACAAATGACATGTAGGCAAACCGACTAACGTTTTTACAGGAAATAGTGCTTTTTGCGTTCCCGTGCACTTCTGCATCTGTTCTCTTTTTACTCTAACTTGAGAGAGTAAAATTGTAGTTTGACAGTTCTACAGGTTTTAGTCCGAAGTTCAAAGGAACAGACTATATGTATCACTTCTTCTTCTTCTTTTTTGGCGCTGTAACCGCCTAAGCGATTTTGGCCGAGTTCAGCAAAGCACGCCAGTCGTGTCTCCTCTGTGCCAACTGACGCCAATTGGAAACGCCAAGTGAAGCCAAGTCCTTCTCCACCTACATCTTTCCATCGCAGTGGGGGCCTCCCTCTTCCTCTGCTACCACCAGCGGGTTCCAAGTTGAATACTTTCAGAGCTGGAGCGTCGGTTTCCATTCGAACGACATGACCAAGCCAGCGGAGCCGCTGTATTTTAATTCGCTGCACTATGTCCATATCGTTGTATAGCTCATAAAGCTCATCGTTTCATCGTCTGCGGTACTCGCCGTCGCCAACGCGTAAAGGCCCGTAAATCTTCCGCAAAATCTTTCTCTCCAACACTCCAAGCCGCCTCATCGGATGTTGTCATTGTCCATGCTTCTGCGCCATATACCAGCACGGGCATGATGAGTGACTTATAGAGCGTGGTTTTCGTACGTCGAGAGAGGACTTTACTCCTGAATTGCCTACTCAGTCCAAAGTAGCACTTGTTGGCAAGAGTGATTCTACCAGGTTTCGGGCCCCGGCGAAGTCGATCAGCCTCAATCCGTTATCGGACGTTTCGTTGTGAATTCTGAATTTTCCGACGGTGGTTTCAAAGATCCCTTCCTTGCCCACCC